ACATAATATTGGTTGTAAAACATGAATATTTAACTTGTATGAATTTTACAGAAAAACTTTATAATATGTATAAGGTATGCTAGGCATGAAAATTTAAATCCAATGACCAGCCCTCTGTAAACATAGGTCATTAAAGATTAGGAAGCTCACCTTGACAAAAGTTATCTATAACTAAAGCACAGTTTCTCACCAAATAAATGTCCTGGGCCCGGTTGTTCAAAAGGTGGTTAAATTTAACACAGTGTTATCTCTGTGCTAACAAGTGTGTTAAATTTAACCACATGATTAAGTGTTGTTCAAAGGTGTGTTTGTGTTAACAAGGTGTTAAATCTGTGTTAAATTTAATCCACCTACGGTAGGTAGATTAAGAAGTTAACACCGTGATTAAATATGGCCGCTAATTTTCTTATTCATCCGCCTGGACCCAGAAAACAGCGTGTTTTTAGACTACACACAAATATAGACGGTTGGTCTGATGAAGAATTAAGAAGAAGGTACCGATTTGGTCAACATGGCATAAATTTTATTGGGGATGTCATCAGAAATGATTTAGAAAGAGCCACTAAAAGGAACAGCGCACTTAGCGTCCAAAATCAAGTAATGATAACCTTGCGCTACCTTGCAAGTGGTAGTTTTTTGCAGGTTGTCGGGGACACCCTAGGTACAATTAATAGAATACAGTACATACACTATGTAAATGTTAAAAATGAAGTTTAATTAAAGTTAAAAATAATAATGACACAGTGCATGGAAAATTTCATGGGTATATATCGCATGTATTAAACGTAAAACGCGGATTAAACAGTCTATCCATAATGAAAAAAATATATACAGATTACTCAAATTTGAACAGGGTTTGACAAAAGTACAGTCTCTCGCACCGTTAAAAGAGTCACAGAAGCACTGGTTGCTAGAGCTGACACATTTATAAAATGGCCCGACGCAACAGCAAAGTCTACTATCAAAACGGGCTTCTACCGGATGGCAGGTTTCCCCAATGTAATCGGGTGCATCGATGGGACTCATGTACGGATCCAGGCCCCTTCACACGACGAAAATTCCTTCGTGAATAGGAAAGGATTTCACAGCATCAATGTCCAAGCTGTATGTGACCACGAAGGTATCTATCACTGACCTTTCAAAGGCCCCTTGTGTCATTTTCGTTCGATGTTTTTTTTTTTTTAATGTCATAAAATTTATAATTTCTAGATACAATGAATTCAGAGGTTTTTCAATCCTCCTTCTACAATCCCTCTTTCATTATTATCGTATTAGTTGTACATTCAATGTTTTAAATGATTTTTTAAAGTGATATATGCATGTAATTTAGATTAACCTCCCCTTCGAAAAATAATGTGGCGGATCCAACCTTTGATTATTTATTTCACTACAATCAAGAAGACATCATTGTATTGGGACTGGACCCTACATGTACAAGAAAATAAATTCAATTTCATTTTTTTAAATAAAAATTAAAAAAGAGATTCATATCAGAATTTAAATATTAAAAATAACAGGGATCTATATACTAACGTTAGTATATAGGTCCCTGAAAATAATTTAAAAAATAATTAAAGTCCTATATGCCTTTCTTTATATACAATCTAGTCTTGATATATTTGTTCATTGAATTTTTTTTAATTATTTGGTTTCTGAATTTACAACATAGAATTTGGGACATGCAAGTACTTTCACATGGAATTTTTAGGTAATTAAAATGGGGTCCTATTACCTGTATAATAGGTATCTGATTATTTATTACCACTGCAATATATCTTGGTAAAATATATAAAATTGACCTTTGATTTATAGGAAAATTGAGAAACTGAATTATTTTGCACATTAATCAGCTCCAATCCCTATACTAGTGCAAGCTTTGAAAAAAAAAAATCCTGAAACATGCATGATCAATAATAATTATTATGTTTCTCTTGACTAGTAGAATGTTCCATTATTAATAATAATATATTGTATTTAAATGAAAAACAGAAATTTTAAAGAATAAAGCCTGTCCTCCATATTTATATTGCTATTAAATCATGCACCACCTGTCCCCCCCCCCTTCCTCACACAAAGTGTGTTTTAAATCAATTCAGTTACATTAAACTGAATATTATAACATTTATTGCAGGAAAGCTTACAAACATCAATGCATCTTGGCCTGGGTCTGTACATGATTCCCACATCTTCAGAACATCACAGGTATTGAAGTAATATCAGGGACCTATAGGTCCCTGGTTATATATTTATGATATTTTAAGAATGTTCTTCACCATGCAACACATGTCCTCACTCTCTCTCTCTCTCTCTCTCTCTCTCTAACTTCCATAATCTCTCATATTAGAGGCACATTATATCTCTTTCATGATTTTTATCTCTCTTTTGTTCTCTCATCATATGCATTAATATTTAGAGTCTAATGACTATTAGATTTTGGAGGTTGATTTGGAATATTGCAATCTAGCATAAGAAAAGCCTGATAATATTTATTTAATTATCAGATCAGAACATATTTGGAGGAGGAGGAGAATGGTCTATTTGAAAATGGAGTTTTGTTGGGAGACAGTGGATATGCTTGCAGACCATTTCTTCTAACTCCTTATGCCAATCCCCAGAATGAACCTGAGGAGAAGTACAATCAAGCCCATGCAAGAACGAGAAGTGAAATTGAGCGCACCTTTGGGCGACTTAAGCGGAGGTTTCATGTTCTCCACTCAGAGGTATCTTAATATTAAACATTCTAGTATATTTTTCACCAACATTTAATAGTGCAATTTATAGTGAAAGAAATTATATTTCATGCCCATTTTTTTTTTTTTTTGTATACATGTAAATTTACACTTCAAATGCATTTTGATTTGTGTAGATCCGAATGAAACCTGACAGGGCATGCAGAATCATCATAGCATGTGCTGTCCTCCACAACATCGCCATCAACCTTGGAGAGCCTGAGGATGAGGATGAAGTTGAAGAGGACCAGCCCCAGATGCCTGCCTTTCAAGGCCCTCAAGATGGAAGAGGAGTGCGGGACTATGTGAAGCAGCATTACTTCAGCTAATAACTGTTTTTTTTAACATTTAAAGAATTGTACCCATAATAGGATTTAAATTTCATATTATTATAATTATCCCTTAGGCCATGAAATATGCTAAAAAATATTATGAAGCATCAATAGTAGAAAAGGAATAAATTACCAAAACAATTCCATGGAAAGAGATTGATTCATTTAGTTATTAAGAGTGTCTGATTTCATTGACCAGTGTTTTTGTATACTTCACTTTCTATATTATGATTAAAATCAAGAGGAGATAACTCTTCAATAACAGGTCAATTTTAAGGTCACCAATTAATGCACACATACTCAAACACTATATACCAATAGTTTAAATGTAAATATTCATATATATATATATATATATATATAGAGAGAGAGAGAGAGAGAGAGTATTGAAACAAGTAGTATATGTCTGATATGCATAGAGTTAATTAAATTTATTTTTTATAGATTAATACATGTACCTTAAATAAGAATGATAGAAAACTTTATATGTAACATTTTATTTAACCAGTGATAATTGTACCAGTTTAACAATTGTATACACAGGTCAACAAAGGTATAAAGATAAAATGGATACCTTAATTAATATAATATTATGCTGAATGCAACAAACAGGTAACAGGTAAACTTTCCACTCCAAATATCACAATATAGCTAGCATGTTCTGAAACAATTAAAATTTGCACTGAATTCATACAGTGAAACAAAGTTTTAAGCACATTCCATAACAATAAACAGTTACTGGTAACTGTAAGGAACAATACAAACAAGCAAATTTAGAGAATCATGGTCTCCCACTCTTGATTTACAAAAAAGATTTTTAAAATTTTGAATTAAGGTACTTATATGTAGTACAAAACACCCATGAAATCCTTTTTACCTCATTTTTTATCAATTACACAAGAAAAAAAAAGAATGATATCACTATATTGTCAATAATCTATGATCTTTGAGAGCATACATGTATTTTGTTTAAAAATGTTAGAGACATTCTATATATTGGTCACTTGGGACCCTACATTTTAAATATGTGTTTATGCAATATAAATGCAGGCCCATAGAAAGTGTTGGGCTGGCCCCCTCACTTTTATCAGAGTATAGTATTTTGCTATAGTAAATTATAGTGAATTTTAGTATACTAAAATTTTCTTGAGATGCTGGTCCCCCCCACCCCCCATCATTTGCTGCTCTATGGTCGAGTACTGGCAAATTCCAGGATTTTGACAGTTCAATGGAAGATCACGTCTGATATTTGGACATATATATAAGGAGTCTTCCTTCTTTATGTACAATAAAGGTTAAGGTTATGTTAACAGATCAAAGGTCAAATATTGTGGCATCAACTACTGAATCTTTAAAATTTTTGGTATTGATTTTTTTGTTTAAACTGCCAAAATATCTGAAAAGAATGGTTCAATTTCCACATTTTGACAGTCATTATAATCTGATATCCATTTCCATCATTTTGTTGACTTTTTATAAAAATGAATACATGTAATACATTTTCTCTAAAGAGAACTTAAAGTGTAGGATATTTACATGTGAATTTTCAATTCTGGGAGAATGTATGTTTCTATTTTTATATCACATTTTACTAAAATTTATCAAATATCAATAACACAAATAATGCACATATGAAAAAAAGTGAAAGGACATCTCTTCTGGAGCAAAAGTTGTGGCCAAAGTTAAAATTTTTGTAACAGACTGACGGACGGACAGATGAATAAGATTCAATTTCCCCTAACCTTTGAAAGTGGGAGGCATGCAATAATGAATATGAATGGAGATGTTTATATACATTCACTTTAGGGTGAAAAATTAATTAAATTAAGATTGGGTGAGTCCTACTCCTATAGTTATATGCAGATATCAGAGACTAGGGGACTAAGTACATGTAATAAATGGAAAGCTTGGCAGTTATAATATTAAAGCATTATTTGGTTTACATGAAGGAGGCAAAGAGCTCTGTCTGGTCATAATCCTGTTTTTTAAGAATTGAATGAAGAAGTTGAATTTGCAGATCCAGCTTTTCCTTTTCCTTCTTGATCTTCTCTTTCTCCTCCTCAAGCACTTCACACTGCAACCTGTAAACATCTTCCACTGACTTTTTCCCACACTTGCGCTTCTCCCTGAAATAATTTTGATTTTCAATAAAATAAATCACTTCTTTTCTTTGAAAAAAAATCTAAATAGACAATGTGTGATTTTTATAAGGAAATGTATTCTGACATTGTATGTTATAGTGAGATAGTCATGAGTACGGTAGATTTAGTCTATTAATTTTTATGACTATTTTATGTACTTTATACAGATACTGCATGTAAATGTATATATGGAATAAAAAAATGTAGATATAAAATTGTCAACATTTTTTTTTCTTTATTTTTTGTGATACTCTTGTACAATTTATATACTGGTCCAGTACAGGTATGAGAAAGGAAAATTTAGAGAGAGAGAGAGAGAGTAACCTTACTTCTCCTTTCCTTGATATGGATACTGCCTTGTGTTTCTACTACAGCTAGGCAATGCTGTTTAAAATAAACATGAAATCAGTCAATGTTTAGCTTCAAGAGGGGATTGGTGCATTTAAATTGCTACAGTTTCATATAAGAAAAATATGAGTATCCAATCTAATTAGGGTCTTCCGTCTTCTGCGGAAGACCCTTCTATTATTCTATTGTTGATTTTTCACTTTTCTTTTTAGGGTCTTCCGTCTCCAACGGAAGACCCTTCTATTATTCTATTGTTTCTTTTTCACTTTTATTATTATTATTATTATTCTTTTTTTTTCTTTACAATTTTTGTGCAGAAGATTTCTCGGAGTTAGCTCGATCGATTTACTTGAAAATTTCAGGGAAGAAGTATCTTTGTCTGAAGCTTATACGTTTTTTTCATTTTTTTGAAATTCACTTCCGGTCGGAAGTTATCGCCCTTTAATCAAAATTCAGAGGACCTCCTTGTCTGCAATGGAACTAAAAAACGATTAAAGCTAGAGCACTGAAATTTTCAGTGATGATAGAGGACATGTTGCCATTGATCACCTGGGTGTTCAAATCTTCCGGAAGTGCCTAGTATGGAAGCTCGGTAGGGGTCGAAATTTAGGACACGAATCATGAGTGAATTTTAGAGACATTTCTTACGATAACTTTTTAACTATGAGTATTTTGTTAAAACATATTGAACAGGAATTGTGTAGAATTACGAGATCTTTTATATGATATCAAAGTAAAAGGGCTGACTCATCACATTAGGGGCTGAGAGGGGCCGAAAGTCTTTCTTCAATAACTCTTTAACGATCAATATTTTGTAATGCATTACTGAAGCAGAAATGTTTATCTCAACAATTTACAACTATATATTATGATATTCACATCATATGTTACATAATTAGGGGCCATAAGGGGCCAGAATGCTAAATATTTGACGCTCTATATCTCAAAAGTGGGAAATATTTTGATAAGCAATATTGAACAAAAGATGTTCAAAATAATGCTCTCAACAATATGCAACCTTTCATTTTTTGCTAAACGTCGCCATTAAGGAATTGAAGGGCCGGCCCCTAAATACTTCTTTTCCAAATATCTTAGAAACGAAAAAGAATTTCTGACTAGTTGTTGAACAAAAAGTGTTCAAAATCATGAGAGCTTTAAAGTGATATGAAGAAAAAGGGGCTGGACCCTCACAATAGGGGCTGAGAGGGGCTGAAAGTCTTTGAACAATAACTCTTTAACGATCAATATTTTGTAATGCATTACTGAAGCAAAAATGTTTATCTCAACAATTTACAACTATATATTATGATATTTACATCATTTGTTACATAATTAGGGGTCATAAGGGGCCAGAATACTAAATCTTTGACGCTTTATATCTCAAAAGTGGGAAATATTTTGATATGCAATATTGAACAAAAGATGTCCAAAATAATGTTCTAAACAATATGCAACCTTTCAATTTTTGCTTAATACCCCCCTTAAGGAGTTGAAGGGCCGGCCCCTAAATATTTCTTATGCAAATATCTTAGAAACGAAAAAGAATTTCTGAACAGTTATTGAACAAAAAGTGTTTAAAATCACAAGAGCTTTAAGGTGATATCAAGAAAAAAGGGGCTGGCCCCTCAAACTATGGACCGAAAGGGGTCGAAAGTCTTTAATCTATACCTCTTTAACGATCAATATTTTGTAATACATTACTGAAGCAAAAATGTTTATCTTAACAATCATCCACAACTATATATTATGATATTTACTTCATATGTTTCGTAATTAGGGGCCAGAAGGGGCCAGAATGCTAAATCTCTGATGCTTTATATCTCGAAAGTGGGAAATATTTTGATAAGCAATATTGAATAAAAGATGTTTAAAATAATGTTCTAAATAATATGCAACATTTCAAGTTTTCCTAAATGCCCCCCTTAGGGAGTTGAAGGGCCGGCCCCTAATTTTTTTTTTTTGCAAATACCTCTTAAACGAAAAAGAATTTCTGAACAATTGTTGAACAAAAATTGTTCAAAATCATAAGTCTAGCTTTAAGGTGATATCAAGAAAAAGGGACTGGCCCCTAAAAATACAGATCGAGAGGGCCTGAAAGTCTTCAATCTATAACTCTTTGATGATCAGTATTTTGTTGTACATTACTGAAGCGAAATTGTTTGTCTTAACAATTTATTTATATCATTATATTTGAACGAAAATCTCAATCAAATTCTTTTCTCATCTTTTCAAAAAATCGGACGGAAGACCCACTCGTTGCTCGCAACGAGATCGCATCTAGTTATTATTATTATTCTTTTTTTTTTCCTTACCGATTTTGTGCAGAAGATTTCTCGGAGATCTCTCGATCGATTTGCTTCAAATTTTCAGGGTTATTGCGTTGCTATCTGAAGTTTATAACACCGCTTCAGTTTTTGAAAAATCACTTCCGGTCAGAAGTTATCGCCCTTTGATCGATTTTTACATAGACCTTGTGTCTGCACAAAAACTCAAGAACGACAAATGCTAGAGTGTTGAAACTTTCAGTGGTGATAGAGGACATACTCTAGATGTGCACCTTGGTTTTCAAATTTTCCGGAAGTGCGATGTATGGAAGCTCGGTAGGGTAGAAATTTAGGATGTGATTTATGAGTGAATTTTAGAGACATTTCTGATAATAACATTTTAAATAGAAGTATTTTGTTAAAACATATTGAACAAAAAGTCTTCAAAATCACAAGACCTTTCATTTGATATCAGGAAAAAGGGGCTGACCCCTCAAATTAGGGGCTCAGAAGGGCCAAAAGTCTTTCATCTATAACTCTTTAATGATGAATATTTTGTTATAAGTCATTGAAGCAAAAATGTTTATCTTAAAATTCTACAACTATATATTATAAAATTTTGATCATATGTTACGTAATAAGGGGCCATAAGGGGCCAGAATGCTAAATCTTTGACACGTTATATCTCGAAAAGGGGAAATATTTTGATAAACAATATTGAACAAAAGATGTTCAAAATAATGTTCTAAACAATATACATCCTTTTAATTTTTGTAAGACATCCCCATTAAGGAGTTGGAGGGCTGGCCCCTAAATAGTGTTATTCTATATATCTCTTAAACGAAAGGAAATTTCTGAATAGTTGTTGAACAAAAAGTCTTCAAAATCACAAGACCTTTCATTTGATATCAAGAAAAAGGGGGTGACCCCTCAAATTAGGGGCTCAGAAGGGCCAAAAGTCTTTCATCTATAACTCTTTAATGATGAATATTTTGTTATAAGTCATTGAAGCAAAAATGTTTATCTTAAAATTCTACAACTATATATTATAAAATTTTGATCATATGTTACGTAATAAGGGGCCATAAGGGGCCAGAATGCTAAATCTTTGACACGTTATATCTCGAAAAGGGGAAATATTTTGATAAACAATATTGAACAAAAGATGTTCAAAATAATGTTCTAAACAATATACACCCTTTTAATTTTTGTAAGACACCCCCATTAAGGAGTTGGAGGGCTGGCCCCTAAATAGTGTTATTCTATATATCTCTTAAACGAAAGGAAATTTCTGAATAGTTGTTGAACAAAAAGTCTTCAAAATCACAAGACCTTTCATTTGATATCAAGAAAAAGGGGGTGACCCCTCAAATTAGGGGCTCAGAAGGGCCAAAAATTTTTCATCTATAACTCTTTAATGATGAATATTTTGTTATAAATTACTGAAGCAAAAATGTTTATCTTAAAATTCTACAACTATATATTATAAAATTTTGATCATATGTTACGTAAAATGGGGTCGCGAGGGGCCAAAATGCTAAATCTTTGACACTTTATATCTCGAAAAGGGGAAATATTTTGATAAACAATATTGAACAAAAGATGTTCAGAATTATGTTCTTAACAATAAACACCCTTTTAATTTTTGTAAGACATCCCCATTAAGGAGTTGGAGGGCTGGCCCCTAAATAGTGTTATTCTATATATCTCTTAAACGGAAGGAAATTTCTGAATAGTTGTTGAACAAAAAGTCTTCAAAATCACAAGACCTTTCATTTGATATCAAGAAAAAGGGGCTGACCCCTCAAATTAGGGGCTCAGAAGGGCCAAAAATTTTTCATCTATAATTCTTTCATGATCAATATTTTGTTATAAGTTATTGAAGCAAAAATGTTTATCTTAACATACTGCAACTACATATTATATAATTTTGATCATATGTTACGTAATAAGGGGCCAGAATGCTAAATCTTTGACACATTATATCTCGAAAAGGGGAAATATTTTGATAAACAATATTGAACAAAAGATGTTCAGAATAATATTCTAAACAATATACACCCTTATAATTTTTGCAAGATATCCCCATTAAGGAGTTGGAGGGCTGGCCCCTAAATATTCTTATTCTATATATCTCTTAAACGAAAGGAAATTTCTGAATAGTTGTTGAACAAAAAGTCTTCAAAATCACAAGACCTTTCATTTGATATCAAGAAAAAGGGGCTGACCCCTCAAATTAGGGCTCAGAAGGGCCAAAAGTCTTTCATCTATAACTCTTTAATGATGAATATTTTGTTATAAGTTACTGAAGCAAAAATGTTTATCTTAACATTCTGCAACTATATATTATAAAATTTTGATCATATGTTACGTAATAAGGGGCCATAAGGGGCCAGGATGCTAAATCTTTGACACCTCGAACAAGGGGAAATATTTTGATAAGCAATATTGAACAAAAGATGTTCAGAATAATGTTCTAAACAATATGCGTCCTTTCACTTTTTACAGACGAATATCTCAGTCAAGATCTTGACTAATCTTATCCAAAATCAGAGGGAAGACCCACTCGTTGCTCGCAACGAGAACCATCTAGTTTATATAATTGTTGTAATTAAACATGCCTCTCACAAGGAAATGGACCTGAGTATCATCCTTGGTCTTTATACCGGTAAATTAATTATAAGTCTTTCTGACTCTTAAATTGTTGTCCCCTTCTTTTACTTAATTTTTAATTTTTTTTCTTGCTTAAGCAATTGAGAGCCTGACAAATATTTAATTATATAGCTGCAATTTACATGAACTTGGTTGTTTTGGTGGACTAGGTGGGGAAAGGGGTTCCTCTAAGGGCGTCTCCATGACAATGAAAGCTTGACTTGCTGAGATAGGGGATTGGGAGGGCACAGGAAGGTCCTCACAAGCATCTTGCCATATGTCCATATCATGTTGATCCTTAGTTACAGTCTGAGTGGGAGATGCTGCCATGGAGGATAATACTATAGAAAACAAATATTCATTATTAGTCATTTTTATACACATGGGTAGTGTGTGGCTTCAGCAGTACTTGCAGCATAAATTCATCAGATTATTTATTTATATATTTTTTTAAAATTATAATTACTTTTTATAATTAGTACACATATATATTGTATGAGTGAAAATATGATTAATATATAATTTTCTATAATCTACACATGTATATTTATTATTCATTTATTTATTTTTCATCATTTTGTTTGTTTTTGATTTCTTTGGGGTTTTTTTTTCCTGATATTTGTTTTTTTTCTTTCCTTCTTTCCTTCTCTCTTTTTTAATCGATACAAACCCACATGTATAAATATGCATTTTTGAGATCAGAAAAATTTCAAAACCTTTTTTGCTTAGAGTGACAGAGTTGTCCTAAGGAAAAGACAAAGCAAGAATTCAACATTGGGGACTCCCCCCCCCCCCCAACCACCCCAAGGGAATTTTGTTTATTAGTTGGGTATTACTTCTCTTAAAATTCATTTATACCCCCTCCATAATAACACCATGTTTACTAAAACATTGGGTGAATGTAGTTTTTGAGGCTCTTCGGATTTAAAAAAAAAAAAAAAAAAAAAACTTGGATCCACTCCGATTCACGAACGTCAACAATCCACGTGTCTTGATTTCGCATTTGATCTCCGTACCTCCAATCTTCACATTTACATAGTTAAATTACTACGAGCACATATTTAATCTTATCTAAAATAATTAAATGTAATCATTCAAGATATAAGAAACATATTTTGTGCGAAGCTAATCAAACTTTTAACATGGAAAAAATTAGAAAGATGAAAGCACATGGTGATGGTGAGTTCGCCTCTTATTTTTCATTTTGACCTTAACAACACAAATGAAAGCTTAAAAAAGAGAATGTTAAGATCATTATTCATTCTTTAAAACTAAAAAACTACATTTTCGTTCACAATCCTACATGCATAGTAAATGTTATGATTATTTTCGATTTGCATATCCCCATGAAAAGGTCAAGGTCGTGTTATTGTGTAAACAAAATCGAAAGAAGGTTAGGAAACTTGTCAATATACCTATTCAAACACATAATTATAAAAATTTATTAGGCCTATTAAAAGAAGAAAAACAACAACAAAAATAAAATACCCAATCATTTTTAGGTCTAAAATATAAATTTTAACAATAAGATGTCATTTCTTCGAGCAGACGAAAATGTTCCTTGTTATTTTGACACATATCACTGTTTTGTTCAAATTAAATTACAAAATTTTAGGTCAAAGTAGTATTTTATATTGAATTAATAAAGTATTATTATATAATGAGTTAAATAGAGTAAAATCTTTGAAATGTGTGTACAGTGTCACAATGTGTGTATAACTGTATTGTTGGTGTAATATGAACACTGTTATAATCTTTTTACTTTATTTTATTATTTAATAAACATAAAATATAGAGATAACGAGCACATTAGATAAAAATTTGTTATTTAACACATAAAAGCCATATTTTACCAGAACATCCAGGCATTGAAGTTTCAATGCCCCCTTCAATCCCGTGGAAGGAACTGGCATCCCTGTACATGTCCACCACATCCTGCATTGTTTGGGAAAGAGGGGTAGGTGGAGGCCCTCCTCCTGTTTTTGTCATTTGTCTCCTGTTTTCCGTAAATTTCAATTTTGCTTCCCGACACATATTACGCCATTTATCTTTGACTTCTGTCAAACTCCTTTTTGCCACCCCCACAGCATTGACTTTTCTAACAATTTCAAGCCAAATGGCTTGCTTCTTAGCATTAGTAACAGTATTACTATGTTTTGCCTCCAGAATAGGATGGAGTTTCACCTGATTTTTAATAATTTCTATCTCTGTTAATGAGAAATTGGTGCTTCTTGCTTTCCTGTTCTTTTTTGAGCAGACGATGTCAGGATTGTCAGCCATGATTGTTTACAAAGGAAGAGAGGTGCATTTTGGGTAATCAAGTGGTTATTGAGTGATTAAGCAGTGAACACAATGTTAACACAGTGTTAGCTAACCATTGCGTTAAATTGCTTTTGAACAACAGAATTTAACCACTGCGTTAGCTAATCAAATGATTAAGGTTTAACACATAGTTATCCTTAACCACTGTGTTAAATTTAACCACCTTTTGAACAACCGGACCCTGGTAGTGTGCTGCCCTAGATGAATCTATACATGAATTGTTGGTCTCTATATGGCTTTCAGTTGCTTGGGAATGAACCTGCTCCAAAAACTTTAACCCTCATCATTCATCCAAAAACTGTAGGTCAGATCCAGCATTCAAAGCATATCTGGTACCATGAATCCCTATATACATCAACCATGCAAGTTTGGTCACTATAAGGCTTTTAGTTACTCTGGAACGGGCCAGCACCAAAACTTTTGGCCTGGACTTCATCTGGAAAATGTATCATGATAGATCTAGCATCCAAAGCTTTTCTGGTATGCATGCCTAGATGCATCAACAATGCAAGCTGAGTCACCAAAGTACTTTGATGCTGACACTGACATTGGAGGGTATACCATAAGCTCATCTCAACTTTGTCAAGGTGAGCTAAAAAGTGAAACATAAAGTCAAGAAACATCTAGAAATATGTCAATAGCAGTGTTTCCCCCATGAATCGACTACCGGTCAATTGACCGCTTCAATTGATAAAAAAAATGCCGATTTAAAATAAAAAAAATTAAATTTAATTATTGGAAGGTCCACAGAGATTTGCCATAAACTTCGACCCAAGCCTGTTACAATTGATCTCTAACCCTTTACTTTGAAATAAAGGGAAAACATTGCACTGGATATGAATGCTCTGCCCAATGGTGTTGCAACATTAAAAAATTGTACATCATTTCTTTGGTCTGAGTTACTAGCAATACATGATGAAAGAAGGAATAATTTTCTAGTTTCTTTGTAAGGAAATGTACAAGTAATCCTTTAAAGGGGCATGGACACACTTGCATTGCTGTTTTGTTAACATTTCTAAATTTCTATATTTATTACAAAAATAATTTTAGTTTAATTTACATGAAAATTCTTTATTTTTAATCACAATAGTTTTTTACAAACCTTTAATCCAACACCTGTGTTTGTAACCATGAGCATTAGCTCTGTTATTGTTTTTATTTAAATTTTACTGGGTGTATTCGATTTGCTAACACTGCACACGTCACTGAACACAAACAGGCAACATTGGTGTGTTTCTTTTGCATTCTTTCATTTTTAGCTGCAATAATGTAGCCCTCTCCGATTTTCTTTTTTCTTTTTTTTTGAGAGAGGGCTACCACTCCTTAGGATCTCCGTAATGGTGCAAGTGTGGGAGTGATTCACTACCGCACAGATTTTGGCTCAAATTATTAGTAAGTGGGTATTTTATTAACATATCTTACCTGAACTCATAAAATGTAGTTATGCAAGACATGAATTGATCCAAAAATATACAGAACAATCCGTATATTGGTTATTTTTCGTGTATGTCAACATCACAACTTGAATTTATCCGCCATATTTACTGACCTTGATCGATTTTATTTTTGGACAACCAATGAGAAATTGGGATCTAGGGGAGTGGATCATTTAGGATTTCCCTTATTTTAAGCATAAATATCACTGTTTATGAAAAAAATATCACATGGGATGCTTTTGTTTATCAATGTTTAGTGATATCATACAACAGAAACATTTATCAACACCGACATTTACTTTATCAAGTGCTTCTAAAATTCAAGCGCAAATCTCTGTACGTCACGCAAGAACTGTCATGGCTGCTGAAGAGATCAACTGGTAAACACGCAGATTTATTTTACTTGGTTTTAGCTTATAAAGAGCTATGATGTTGATAGTGAATAAAAATTCCATCTTATTGGAAGTAAGTTGAATGCAGAAACAATTTATTTTGCCTACAGTCGCCCGTATCTAAAAAATATATTTGCACCATTACGGAGATTCAGTGGAATTGTAGCCCTCTCCTGAAAATACAAGATTTAAAAAAATCAGAGAGGGCTACATTATTGCAGCTATTTCATTTCTATTCTAAATTTTCTTGATTATAGTTTTAGTATCTTTCATTGATGTATAATACATCACAAATTTCTCTTTTTCTTAAATATCAAGGATAAATCTTAGTTTGTGAAAATGCAAGGATTTACTGTAATATTACTTAATATTAAAAATATTACTTAATATTAAAATTTTTCTCTAGAAAGTTATCTCATATTGATAAGCAGGACAAAATTTTCATGAATTCTTGCAATTGCTGTACATAATCCTTAATAATACATACATATGTGAGAATAAAATTTTCGCAAGTAGACAGTCTTGCGTAATTACATGAAAATAAAGTTCTCACAAATAGTGATTTACAGTATTTTAATCAAACATGTCAGAAATTCATAGTTTTTAAAAATTGTCAGATGAAAGAAATTTCTAATCACACTTTTATTATACAGTGTATATCAGTCTGAAACACTCTCATAACACGTAAGATATGGAATTCTGCCAAACATTTTGATGGATATAAATGTCAAACCTATGCCCCTTTAAATATCTAAGACAAAAAAAGGAAGAAAAAGTTCAAGGTCATAGGGAATGTCAAGGTCAGAAAATTTTGACACAGCTCTCGATTTTATATTTATTATCTTTCTGTGAAGTTGGATGAAAATATCTTTAACAGTTTTTAGCTCACCTGAGCCAAAGGCTCAAGTGAGCTTTTCTGATCAAAATTTGTCCGTTGTCTGTCGTTGTTGGCATTGTCGTTGGCGTTGGCGTTGTTGTAAACTTTTCACATTTTCATCTTCTTCTCCAGAACTACTGGGCCAATATCAATCAAACTTGGCACAAAGTATCCCTGTGTGAAGGGGATTCAAGTTTCTTCAAATGAAGGGCCACGCCCTCCTCCAAGGGGAGATAATTACGATATAGCAAAAAATTAATGGCATTATTGAAAAATCTTCTCCCCAAGAATCAATGGGCCAGGAAAGATGAAACTCATGTGGAATTATTGTCAGGTAGTGTAGATTCAAGTTTGTTCAAATCATGACCCCCTGGGGTAGGGTGGGGCCACAATGGACGATCAAAGTTTTACATGGGAATATATAGGAAAAATCTTCTTCTCAAGAACAGCAAAGCTATGATTGGTCATATTTATATGGAAGCATCCTCAGGTGGTGTAGATTCAAGTTTGTTCAAATCATGACCCCCAGGGGTAGGGTGGGGCCACATTGGACGATCAAGGTATAACATAGGTGTATATGGGAAAAATCTTCAAAAATCTTTTTCTCAAGAACAGCAAAGCAATGATTGGTCATATTTACGTGGAAGCATCCTCAGGTGGTGTAGATTCAAGTTTGTTCAAATCATGACCCCCAGGGGTAGGGTGGGGCCACATTGGACAATCAAGGTATAACATAGGTGTATATAGGAAAAATCTTCAAAAATCTTTTTCTCAAGAACAGCAAAGCTATGATTGGTCATATTTATGTGGAAGCATCCTCAGGTGATGTAGATTCAAGTTTGTTTTAATCATGACCCCCAGGGGTAGGATGGGGCCACAATGGACGATCAAAGTTTAACATAGGTGTATATAGGAAAAATCTTCAAAAATCTTTTTCTCAAGAACAGCAAAGCTATGACTGGTCATATTTATGTGGAAGCATCCTCAGGTGGTGTAGATTCAAGTTTGTTCAAATCATGACCCCCAGGGGTAGGGTGGGGCCACAATGAACGATCAAAGTTTTACATAGGAATATATATAAAAAACCTTTAAAAATCTTCTCAAGAACCGCAAAGCCACTGTTTGTCATATTTATATGGAATTATCCTCAGATAGTGTAGATTCAAGTTTGTTCAAATCATGACCTCCAGGGGTAGGATGGGGCCACAATGAAAGTTCACACTTGTAGAGAAAAATGACACAGTAGTCAAAAATTTATGTAAGCATCCTTAGTAAATGTAGATTTAATTTTGTTCAAATCATACCCCCCACTCTCTTTTAAGGGTAGTTTGGGACCACTTATGCATTTAAACTTTTCAATACTAAACTGATTTTTTCTTCTTTTTTAGCCACAGTGCTCAGGATAGCGATGTGGCCCCTGGGCTTCTTGTTTTTTTATACTAAGTAAACCCAAAATATGAAAAACTTACTTCAAGATCATAGGGAAGATCAAGGTCAGAAAATTATTACACAGTAAGAGTTGAATTGCTCTATCCAATAAATATCTTTCAAAGAAGTTTGATTAATTAAAATGTAAAATAAGTCTGACAGTTTATTCCCAATTAGCCAACATTTTGAAAAATCCTATTCCCACATAGCCAACATTTTGATTTTTACACCTGAGTGATCAACAGGCTATAGTCTGTTTTCAGGTATATGTGCTTTACCTGAGAATTACTACCTTTGAAAAAAATAGTGTAAAAATAAATTCAAATGAAAACTTCAGTCAAAACATAAAAATAAAATTTAAATTTAAAAAAAATGAAGTTCTAGAAAAAAAGAATTAATTTATATAAATGTAGTAAAAAATAAATATAAATCTGCATTTTTTTAAAATTAAAAATTGAATATTGATAAAAGACAATATTGAAAATTAATTAAGAATTAAAATATTTTAAATGATACCAAAGAAAAGTGTATATTACATTGTAGAAACAATTTTGAACATTCTAAAATATATTATATTTATCAGTTGTGATTAAAAATATTTATCTGAGTATGTAATATTCGACTGTGATAATGATCACAGTAACAGAATCTTTTGATACAAACTGATTCATTATCTGATTTTAAAAAAATTTCATGCCTGATATTCACAACCCTGTCTTTTTTAACTATATACGATTCTAATAGGGCCTATATATTATTATATATCATAAAAATGATTTTTTTTTTTTCGGGGGGATTCCTGTCATTTTGTTTTATTTTTACTCTACCATGGTAAATGTTTAAAAAAAACTATAAATTTACTGAAGAATTAATGTTTGTACTTTTTTTTTTTTAAATTTCATATACAGTTTGAATATTTAATTCTATGTTGCAGCATATTATGTGTTTTCCATTTAAACTTTAAAATTTTAGGCTTGATTCAAGTTGAGCTATAATTTATTTAAAAAGAAGAAGGATATAATGATTAATAATTTAAATATATTCAATGATCGATTTTTGAATATTTATTTTATAATAAATATATTTAAAAACGTTTCCCGCCAAAGATGTTACAAATGTGACAAAGAAAATTAAAAATAAAAACAAATTGTGATACAACACAGCAATAAAGAAGAATAAAGCTGTTAATTATTCAAAATAATTAAATCACACTGAAATTAATATATCAATTATTATTATATTTTTAAGAAAAGATAATTTTGTACTTGCACTGAAACTCAATTCATCAAAAAAATATTACATTCATCATGGTGTTCTTATATGTACATGCTACAAATTAAATAAATTATTTTATTCAGCTTATACATGTAGCTTAAAACAGACTATAGCCTACATGTAATTTATTTCTTTTGTTCTCAGTCTGCACCCCATTCCCACTTAGCCAAGACACATTTACCTGTGTTTTACCTGTATTTTTTCAAAATGTTGGCTAAGTGGGAAAACACCAGTCTGACAGATGAATAAATAGAAAGTTGGAAGGATGGAGGAACAAAAGGGGAAAGAATGTCTAAAAATGGTCATGACATACAGTATATGCCCCCTGCCATATTCATGGTGGGGCATAAAAATTGATCAGTAAATTCCCTCAAAAACACTTTAAGCTCAGATGAGCTAAAAAGTGATGTCTTTTCCTGCATGTATTTTAACCTATAGAATCATCTGCAAAATAAGTAAATATAAGGACTTACTCTCCAGATAAGAGTCTTTATTATAGCTGTTACTTCAGGGTCATAGGTAACCAACACATTACTCTGTAAAGATAATTCAAAAAGGTGATATACTGTTCACTAAAGCAAAAACAACTCTCAATGATGTTATTCAAAGTTATCTAGCATTTAAGTTTACTTGTCAAATCAGAGCTCTGCTTATGATTCTCTAATTTTGAACTTTACAATGGCAGTGTTATACATACAATACAAATTAGGCTACATGTATGTTTAAAGTATCTGCATGTCAGTCTCCCACTCTCAAAATGTGCATTTCATTAATTGCTTGTCCCTGCCTTTGTTTCCTCTTTCATATCATTCCTTCTGAAATTTCTGAAGATAAAACTAACTGGGAGAATTCACAAAATGAAGCTGTAGATGACCTGATATTAAAATGATCCATTACCTTGTGATACCTGAATATCTTGTTCAGCTGTGCCTTTATGATGTGTACAACTTCACTTTCTAATTCTGAGGCATCCAACTGTAGGAGAAAAACAAAATGCAATATTATAGTTGATACATAATGTTCAAATATGAAAATCTCATATGTGTTTGAGTTTTCTGTTTGATATAAAAACATTCTTTAATATGTTTGATATTATTTTAAAAGTAGAACATGTAGAAATTATTAACTTTTAACATACATGTTTAATTCTAATAATGAAAAAAATTACTTTAACCTGAAGGGCAAGCTGAAATCAGATAATTAATGATATCTTGGACTGATTATCCGGTATTGCACTGTAGCAAGCGGCGCAAAGTGCCACTCACACTACAAGTTCTTAATACAATGCCTAGGTACAGAGAAAATTTTTACTGCTGCATCCAAAATAAATTTTTTTCTACAGTTGACCTCTGTATCTACATGCACCACAAAGTTCACAAATAAAACAACACACTTTGCTTAATTGGAAATTGCAGAGAGATACAAGGGTTGATCCAAAAATATTTACATTTGCAAATGCTTTCCCTTATATAACACTATTGAAAGCAATGCGTATCTATATCCGTATAAACACGGTACACGCGTCATAAACGTTCTACATAATTTCTCAGTGACGTCATAAAGGGTCGATGCGCAATCAATGGATTAGACACATGCTGTTGAGTTTGAAAAATAAAACACTTCACACGTTAAAAATTATAATTAGGCAAACATAAAATATAAATAAGTGACAAATGTAAATATAAGTAATAAGGTATCATTTTTAAACATCTATCGGGATATAAATACGGGTTGGTACGAGATCAAATTTACCACAAAGCCCTTCGGGCTTTACGGAATTCGTTCTCGTGACCAACCCGTATTTATATCCCTATAGATGTTTAAAAATCATACCTTATTTCTTAAGTAATTTCACAACTGCTACATGTATAAAATCTTTAATTATCGAAAGTTATCAACAATTTTTTTTTATATCAATCATGTTAATACCTCTATCTATTTTGACTTTTATTAATTTAAGATTTTATAGCACATGAGACATTACTTTTGGATCAACCCTCGTAGTAAATTAGATGCTCTTCATTATTAAGTATTTGCCTTTTTTCAAGACTTCATTTGGAAATACAACTAACATACCACGTCATGTGATGTCACAGATTAGGCCTTCCAAATATATTTTGCAATTTGAAGAGGAAGATATATCTAATTTAAAAGCAAATAAGTATCCAGTAATAAATTATACACAACTACACAGCCTTAATGGTTATGCTATCAACATTTTAATGGCAAGTGCAGTAAGCAGCACAAAGCACTGCTCTAAAGCAAGTTCTATAAACTAAATTGTAAGAACAAAGGAAATTTGAAATCAGTACATTCTTGTGCATCAAGCAAATTTTTATGTGAAACCTTCCCGAAATTCTTTTGCTGCCATGATTCCATGTGATAATGGTGAATATATCAGGCCCCCCAGTTATTTTGGGAAGATTTTCTTCTTGCAGAGAGTTTAAAAGGAACAAAAAATAACTGCATCTACTCTACAATGCCTTTTTTATAATTGTTAAAAATAGCACTATTTGGACTCTGTTATGAAATGCAACTTCATGGGACATAACAGTCTAGACTGGTGTCTCATGCAGTTTGAAGAGGCAGATCAAAGTTACATGTATAAGCTGTGTAAAGGTTTTTGATTGTACAACTGCACTCGCCCAAAAGGGTCACACTGTGAAAAATTACTGCAACATTTATTTTGGAAAAAAATGAAAAGAAACAAACAAGATTTAGATTGTGTGTGTATGTGCGCAGTGTTTGAAAGAAATGTGCACCCACTTTACAGCCCCTTTCAAGAAAGATGATGTAACAACTTGTTACATATGTAACATACCTAATTTTTGAAAAAGGCAATACGTGTACTTTTCCTGGGGTTAGAAGCATAGGGGCTTGTCTTCTGGATTGTAAAATGTAAAATAAATTAATAAAATTTTGAATGTACTTTAAATACACTTAAAAGTTGTTAAAATAAAAGATTCTGACACTTTCAGTCAAGAAAAACCACATTTAAAAAAGACCTATATACATAAACTCTACAAGGGACGAAAGCTCTCATCTTGGAAAAAATACCCCAACCCACTTCAGCACCTATTTCTGGACTCTAAAGCATTATTTTATTCTGTTGTCATGGTTCTGTCCCTTACAGGGATGATTTTCCTAAATGTTGATGCATTTGTCAGTCGTCAACACACGTTTAATCAACAGAAAACGAATACAATTTCTTTGGTGTGGCTTACAAGTTTTATCAGCAGTCAGCCCTACATGTCTAGCTAATTTTATAGTGAGTTTCAAACACTGGTGTGTTTGTGTTTTGTTTTTGTTTGCCTATGACCATATATTGTCTACATAAAACAAGCTCTGTGGCATATTATAGCTATAGATAGATGGTGAGATTGTGCAGGACTTAGTTTTATTGAAATATATCCCATGTGAATCACTGAGGGAAAAACCTCCCAGGATAAGTTTAGGTAGTATCTATCTAAAGGCAAGGCAATCAAATGACGAGTTGTCAGTCACTCACAAGATCAGCTACAAGTCTAAGACGTCATCCAGCATCAATAACTTGATTATGCATCAATGCAAATTAAATCACTCGTGATAAATCAATATCATTGAAACCTTGAGTCTTACCTTAGACTTCAAAAAAAGTTGACATACTTTTTTTCCTGTTTCATGTATAAATTACAACACTTACTTGGCTAACTCGAAGGGCTGGCGTTTTCTCGATAATGGAGTCCGCCATTTTGTACGAAAGACCAAACCTAACTTGTAAGCTTTATTGCCATTGGATAAAATTAGAATTTGTTAATTTTTCCCCATCACATCTACATATTTGCCTTTCTGATTTTTACGTAAATATCCTCATTTTTTTCTACAAAAGTAATTTTATATCTTGAATGATTCATTTTTTAAATGGAATTCTAAATCTGAACCCAGCACGAATTCTCTTTCCGGAAAGTCGCATTACTTTGGATGTTTCACATAAAAACTAATCCTAATGAAAATAAACTGTAGAAATTAAATTATTCCATGCTGTCATTTCATTTTTGTTTGTTAAAAACTTGTGTTTATAATTTAAAAAAAAATATGCTGTGTCTAAATGTCTGTCCAAAAAAAAAAAAAAAAAAAAAAAAAAATTATGAAAACACACTGACTGTCTGTATTTTTTGAACATGCAATCCAAGAAAATTTTCTGCTTCGAACCTTCTTACATACGTTTTAGATTTGGGCAGTAGACCATTCAATAGATAAAAATAATTTCAAGCTTCAGTAAGGAAAAACAATTTCATCATAAAATTATGAAATCTTGTATTGTCCCAGAGACAATATACATAGGTATTTTAAACAACAGCAATCTAAGATATATGTATGGCTGTGCCCCCCCCCCCCAACCTGAAATTGCTTCCTACGGGCCTGGTACATGTTTATATATGACATTAATTTTACTTAAATTCCTTGTGTTTAAAGTGTAATGTGGTAAATGTAAACTGAGATGTGAAAAGTTGGAATTATTGATAAACTTTCTATTTTCAATATAACAGTCGATAATTTAAGCGTCGGACCAATTATGTATTTTTTTTATTATTATTGCAATATACTGTTAAACCCTACGTGGCGCTTGTTCAATGGACGTGTATAAACATGCCTGAATATTAAAGTGCCAGCCATTATTGGAAAAAAGCAAAGACAGGTGTTTCGCGTTTCGATAAAAGTATCCACCGTGAGGTGTATTGAAGTGTGAGACAAATAACGGGGGGTTTTAGCTTCAGAGCTCCCTCCCAAAGGAAAAGTGAAGGAGTGGTCAGTTAATTTCACCTAGCAAAGCTTTGCCCTGTCATCGGGGACTCCATGTCAGCAGACGACCGACTTGAAAGGGTCATACAGGTGACATTTTAAGCAATAATGTTTTATCGATATTTTTGTCTCGACAGTTCTGAGGAACGCTTAAATGCCGAAATGTTGATTTGCAAAAGCATGGAAAATTCAGCTTTCGTTTTCTATATCTTTCAAGTTTTGCAGGTTTCATCGTAGTTTTTATTGCAATTTGTTTAAGAACTGTCACAATATCATAAGATTTAAATGCCTCCTCATCTGTCATTCAAAAGTGTATACACTATCAATTGTCTGTGGTGTTTGAATATATTTCGAGAGAAAAAAAAGCTTCATTCCCACGATTGTATTATACAGAGCATACTGCTGATTATGTTTCTAGCATTACATAATAATATTAATCTATTTATGAGATAACAGGCCATAACTTAGTTGTTGACAGGTGCGCGCTATATAAATGTTAGGGACGCCGTTACTATAGGAACATTTTTTCATAGCTGCGGGACTGTCATCGGTCCAAGAATCCCATTTTTACAATCACTTGATTACTTCCGGTTCTAAAGTTGATGAAGTTTTGGGAAAAAAGTTGGGCTAAAAGTGCTCGGAATGAGCCATTTGAAGTACCGCAGAGACTCTCCACCTGTTAAAGATTTATTTGGATCTTCGTCCTTTGATTCTGATGGTTCCATGGCGGGATATTCGCTTCTCCACTGGACGCAGCAAGAATTTAGTTTTAATGCACGGTTTTCGCCATGTATTCTTTATTTCCAGAATAAAAATAATAGTAAAAATTAATTCAGCAAGAAATACTAAGCACAAATGATTTTGTTAGGAATTAACAAATAGTAATGTTATGTGCTTTAAAATTTGTGTAAATCGGGGGGGGGGGGGTCTATTAAAAATATATCACTACATGATGAAGAATTACACGTTTAATGTTAGAAACTTTAAAAATTTTACTTTGTCTTTAAAACTGTACTTAAACAGGTTTTGTTGAGTATACATATACTCTTAAATTATTCTATTCCTTAGAATGATTTCAAATTTTCAGAACACGTCATTTGCCTACATGTTTACTCAAATCACAAAGCTCAATATTCATTCTGAGTTACCACAAAAGTTATTGAGCTTTGTTTATTTATCAGATGGGACTCATTTCCTATGCAAATATAACACAGTAAACCCTGTTAGTGTTTAGGTAAGGACCACAAAGGTCTTGGCTTTTATTCATCTAAATGGAAAACAAATTTTATGGTTGAGAAACACTGCTTTCTTTACAGTGATAATAAACTGTTGAAGCCTGTGTGGTAATAATTGCGTATTGATCTGTTTGTGTGAAATGATGTCAGGACTATTGTAAGGGACATAAAAAAAGCTGACTTTGCACAGTTTTTATCGATGCTAGAGTACTAGCCTACAGTGATGTGTTCAAATTCATAAATATACATAGGCATGCAAGCAACAGGAAGTTACGTTAAGTAATAAGGAAAGCATTAGCAAGTGTGTTGTAGCCATTTTAGTCTGAAAATTAATGTTTATGAACAGTTACGTGTGCCAACTGCCAAATGCATTTCTTAAATGAATTAATTATATTTGCATGCTCCTTTCTTCCAAAAGTTTAGGCACTAGTAAATAAAAAGAAAACATCTATGGAAATTGGTAGAAATTGGTCAAATTTCAAACTTCAAAACAAAATAGTTAGGGATCATTCATAGTTTATGCAAAATACCACAGGAGTTAAAGTTGTATACAACTTGTATTTTGAAGAATATTGTGTTTCAAAGTGTGAAATGATTGCTGCAGAAATGTCACTCTTACAGTATGTTTTCTTCAACATTCTGCATATGTAACTGGAAGTGAAAGTTGTACAAAAAAACACCTTATAGTGCACAGAAAGAATGGAACTTGTATATTCCTTAGTGTTTGAACAGCTTTGCAAGGCAACATTGGCTAAAACTGATACTTGACAGATTTATTTGTGAAGATTAATGTCAGAGGAGAGAGAGTAGTAGCTAGCAATATTTGTATAGCAAACAAAATGAATGAACACTGTAGGTATTGTCAATATCAATGGTTCCATTTCAAAATCGAGTTCAATAATAAAGTCTTCCCCATTTCCAATCAATATTCTTTTGTATTTGTTTTATTCAAATTAAAAATGATGATGATGTTAAAATTTCTTTGCATTCCACAAAGATTGAATAATAAATGGAGTTAAGTCTTTGAACAGTCACATTTATTAATGAGAGAGTTGAACAGTACAGATAATAAACCGCTGGGTGTGCAGTGTCATTTCTCAGAATAGCACAGCCTATTTCTGTTCATGAATCATTTATGCTTTTTGTAAAATTCAATGAAAAAAAAGGTGAATAGTAGGAAAATGAATTAAAATGGTAAAGATAATTATGTAAATTTTCTAATTGTTGCAAGCTTTACACTATTTAAACCACAAAAAATCTTGTAAGTATTTTCTCTACACACATTTATAATGCATTCATCATCATTCTAAATTCTTTTCTTAAGTAGAGCCTAATTACTTAACCGTTTAAAGTGAAAGTAAGATGTGGCTTTCAGATATGTTTGTTGTTTTTGGTATTTCCAAAGGTAAAGAATGGATTTCAAATAAAATTTTACCAATAAAACAAAGAAAGTAAGATTGTAAAGGCAGATAGATTCTGGATAAGTTTGTGGATGCAGGAATGAAATTTTATTTCAATTAGATAAGTGAGAGCTTGCATAAGTTGTGGCATGGAATATTGAGTTTACAGAGATACAGGATCTCTAATTGCCCTCCATTTGCAATATTGCCTAAATTTATTAACTCACATCAAACACTTAAGTAAAATGTATTACAATTCACTTACTGAAATGGAAATTGCCATGCATGAGTATTGATGTGTAGATTGTTTGAAATGTAAATGCTTTTATTTTATTACAGAGATTAGAGGACTCCGTGCTAAGAGATAGGGAGGATTTAACAGTCCTTGGTGAGGACAACCAACCATCAAAGCTTCCTGCTCGAGTCAGGGAGATCATCACCAAGCACCTGCCTGCTGAGGACCCAGATTATACCCCACCAAGGATGTCCACCACTCCCACTGTCTCACAGCTACAGGAGGAGAACAGGCTCCTCGCTGCAGAACTCAATCGCGTTGAGGACCTGCTGGCAGCGAGTCGAGCTGAGAGGGATGAGTTAGGAATCAAGTACAATGCCATCAGTGATAAGGTGAGTTTAGAGGAGTAGAGAGATAGAGGTTTGGTGTTTAGGTAAGTCAGTGTGTTGTGTCGATTTTTATAGCATTGTCAGTTTGTCAGCTTTCTTTATACAAATGTTGTATAATAGGTAATAATTCATATATTCAAATTCTTCAGAATGATGTTTCATTCAAGTTTTCCACTTCTGACTTCTGATATATTTTTGTTGGTTCAGCCACAAAGCATAATTAGAAAAAAGCAGATTTTACCTGTTATAACCCTGGATGATTCCATGATCCCTTTGTACAGAAAAGCACACAATTATATAGACTTGCTGTGATCATTCAAATGTTGGCATTGAGGAATAAATGTTATCAAATGATAATGTGTCCTCATCCATTGTATATTGAACAATGTTAGGTCAACACAATCTACTAAATTACGCAGGGTTTATCAAACATCATAATCCTTCTCTTTTACAGAAATAATGAAACATTTTAGCTCTGCAAGGAAAGAAGTGTATTTTTTTAAAGTGAAACTATCATTATGCATCCCCACAAAGCATATAACTATACACCGAATTTTATTTCATACAATTAAAAGCTCCTTGAGAAAGCTTCCAAACAATCCTGTCTTTAGTATATAATTTGATGATAGCTATTTTGAAATACATTCACAATCAAAAAACATACTAGCTAAACAGTCTTTAAATTTGTTTTACATGATTGATTTTAACCCACCATAATTTTTCATTATTATTGATTACCCAGTTCATCAGAGATTTTAAAAATATGCATTTGTTGACATATAATGCTCCTCTTGATGTATAACGTGCTGTTACTGTCTAATTACGGGAAGTGATCTCCAAATATATGTTAAAGTACTTCTTTCAGGGAAGAGGGGTTTTCAAAGTATAATCTTTATAGTTTAAAATACATTTAAAAAAAAATGGTTACAGTTTTTTCTTCTTGAAATAAAAATACATTGTAGTTCTAACAAAATAATAAAAAACAGAGATTGTGGAGAATGGATTGGTTGTCAACCCTAACCTTACACGTACCCAGACAAACATACATGTATAAATAGACATGATAAATTGTGTTGAATTTTCTTAACAGATAATCTGTAATATAAACACAGTTGTGTATTTAACTTGGTCTGTCCTGCCTCTATTGTTAACCAGGGCAGTGGGGTAAAACACATTCTACAGACAACGTTGTCTGTGCTACAAAAGTTCAAGTGTATCACATATTATTTCCCCAAAAAACAATGAATGCACTGCCTTCCTAGCAGGAGGGCTCAGATTAAATGATTTACAGTTTTAAGACCCTGAACAACAAATACATTAAAGTACATGCTATCTGTGGAATTTCCTCGAAAGTTCCGGGGTTCTTGCAAAATTCATCCATGAAATATTGTAATAAAACAGGACCAGCTTGGTTAATCATAGTAGGGAAAAAAAATCTAAATCAGCTGTCAAAATTTTCTTCTATGGTTCAGCAAAGTCAGGCCCCATTAATCCAAATCAAAGAAATTTAATGGTTAGATCTGAACTATTTACACCACTCAATGGCACTTTTTCTGTTATATTACAGTGCTTTAATATTCTAGGACCTTTATTTATGCAAATTTTTGGAGACTTCATTGAGTTGAAAAGGAATTTTTTTTCTTATTACTATATACAGGTAATTATACCCCCCGCAAACGAAGTTTAGGGGGGGTATATTGGAATCACCATGTCCGTCTGTCTGTCTGTCTGTCTGTCCGTCTGTCCGTCTGTCTGTAGACAAGATTTTGTCCTGAGCATTTCTCGGAAACTATTGCATAGATTTGTCTGAAAATTTGTACACTTATTATTCACCATATGAAGGTGTGCACCTGGTATTTTCATCATGATTGAATAATTTTTCTGCATTTTACAGGTGTTTTTTTCATTTTTATCATGTGTTTTGTACTTCCTTTACTCAAAGACTATTTCATAGAATTGTATGAAAATTTGTACACTCATTATTTACCATATGAAGATGTGCACCTGGTATTTTCAACATTATTTGATAATTTTTCTGCATTTTACAGGGTTTTTTTTTTTCATTTTTATTGACTTAGTCATTTTGGGTTTATTTCTAAGGTTTGAGACACAGAATCTAGAACATCTGTACAAAAATGTGAACTACAGCTTAAAACTATTCATTAAAACAAAAACAAAAAAAAAATCACCAAGTATTAAAAACAATTTTTACATTACACAGCAGATAGTGTAAATCCATTTGTCCCTTGGGAGTAATGAGTGGACATCATCCAGTTAGAGATAAATTAATGAGTTCAGTGTGGGAAGTTGTTAGGGCCTCTCTGATCAAGCATGTGTTATCTATATCTCCTGGGAATTTCAAGATCTCTGTTCTTTAATTCTCTTAATTGTAATTTATTGTCTGTCATAGTACATAGTTACTGGATGACCAGCCTTTCATTTTTAAAATGAATTTGATATAAAGTTATCAAGATTAATTTGATTCTGTAATTAATTGATTTTTTTTCAACAATCAATGCAGAATGTCATGTCTCAAAAAGATGACAGATAGTTGCAATTTATTTTTTCAATATATTAAAAAACAATGTAACTACAATGTATTGGTATTGATGTTTTATTAGGTTGTTCCTTGGTTTCATGCATTAAAAAAAATAAAATGAGCAATTATTTTTTCACTCTAAATGTTAATAAGAAAACACCTCTTAGATCCATAAAATATTAGTGATTTAGCACCTCTGAAAAACCCAGCGGGGGGTATTTGTCCCTTTTGGACAGTTCTAGTTTTAATTAGGAATGTATATGAATTGAACTTAATTAAATAACCTTGGTAAACAGAATATTTGAGGTTTGCTTATTTTTTTCCCCTGTCAAATGCAATGATATCCATGCATTACAAGAAACATATTGTATAAAGTGATAACGATATGAGATTTTTGTGCAACCAGGTTAAACTGTTGAAGTTTTTGAATAAGCTTATCAAATTTCAATATATATTGATCATTCCAAGTAATTATTGGCATATTTCATAATAAAATAACTGACTTTGTCATAAGGTCACGTGCAGGATTAAAAAAGTCTGTGAAGTTTTATGTCCTCATGTTGATTTGGGAATGTTGATTAATCATACTTCAAGCTATATACCGAACAGTATACTAATGGGGGATACTTCATAGTGACATTACTATTTGTTTTGATATGTGATCTATCTGTGCTCCTTGATTTTGATAAAAGTTGTTGAATACTTGCACTTTGTGGACCAAAGTTATTTCCATAGCTTGATTTTAAGAACCAATTCTGTGGCACTACAACATGTATTTGACCCAGCTTGATTTTAAGAAGTTCTCTCAGCCTGTATTTGACATTCAGTAAAAAGGTTCCTTGTTCCTCTAAGCTTAGAGAAGAGCATGCTAATACTTGAACTAAGTAACATATACCGGTATGTGTACAGTTAGTCTTTTAAGGTATCATTGTTCCAATCTTGGCAAAGATTGAAGTGGTTGTAAGTTTCGTATTATTCATACATGTATTATTTTAAATCCTGCAAAATTTAATTTTTGTATTGATTGAATATGTGCATTCTACTACTCTGGAAAATTCAAACTTTTTTTATCTTTTCCTGTTAAATGCATTTAGTTTGAATGTACATTAAACATTATTAAATCTGCAGTATTTGATATGCATCTATTTTAAAAATTTTCAAAATGCATTAGTCATTACTGATACATGTATATACCTCTATAAAAGAGCATGCAAGAGATTTATTAACTGATGGTTAAGATTATTTAGAAATCACGAAAAAAATCCAGGAAGTTGTTTCAACCAATTTTCGAAATTTAAATTTAAAAAATACACCAAATCACTCTTCTATCCTGATAGAGTTTTTCCAGTATACACAAATCACACAGTGAAATCAAGCAGAGACAAGTAATACAAGATCGTGCCAATTTTTGTTTAAGTGGACAAGTGAATTGAATTTTAGTTATTGCTTAAAGTAAATCACAAGGAGTGTAGAAAATTCAAATTTCACAAATTCAGACTTATCTTAAAGGAAGGTGGAACTGGAGTAATGACACTGAAAGTAAAAATGATTGAAATTTAAGGCTTGTTATAGATCAAAGTAATAAAGGGTTCCAAGGCTTTTAAAGGTTGTAATCGCATGTTTGAAGGTTCATGCCATGAGGTAATCCTCACATTTTAACTTATGGATATTAATGATTAGATCCCTAGGGTTGGTGTATTAGAATTGGTTTAATCAGGCCTAAAATGCTGTGAAATTTTGTCATCATTGTGAATTTTTTTCCCCCCTAAATTAAAGTATATACACATTTTGAAGGAACTGAGGTATAATACTTCATAGAAGATGTTTAACCAATTAAATAGCTAGATAACAATGTAAAATATTATTTTATTAGTTTACTAGATAATGAGTGCTATTTTTTATCACTATTACTACTGTAGATTCCTTATTTTACGCGAGTACTTAATTTCACGAAATGGCCGAAGGGTGTCAAATCGCGAGAACAATAATTCGCGAATGGGTGATTTATATAGAGATTTTACATACATTAAAGCACCATTAAAATAAAAGCGAATATTTTTATTTCGCGAGTGGTGCTTCTCGCGTAATTACACGATAATTTATTCCTCGCGTATATTTAGGAATCTACAGTATTAAAGGAATTGTGCAATTTTTGTAGTATGGCTGTCATACAACATTCTGTAGTGTTTGTAAAAAGTAATATTGGTTGATAGGGAAAAATATTCAGCTTCGTAGGGTGAAAGTCTCATCAAATACCAAAAAAATTATATGTCAGTATTTGCTGATTGTTGCTAGAATTCAATATCTTATGTACTGAGATAAACTTGACCAAATTTGAAAACACTCTCTGAGGGGCTCCAAACAGAAGCTAAATTCATGAATAGACCAATCTAATGGGTAAAAAGTAGATATTAATGGTTTCTATTATTCAGCTGTTACTATTTGATTAAGAGGTACTTATTCC